GGCCTGTACTGTTAAGCTGCTCTTCTGTCGCATGCCATGTTCCTCCTTCGCAGACTCTTGATTTCTTCCGCTGACAAGGATCTAACGAGAGTTGGATCTAAGGTGTTGCATTGCATGATGTAAAGAGGCACTACGAGCAGCAATAAATAATGGTTTGGTGGTGTGGAAGCACTTCGGTGTCCGACGTCATCGCCTGTGCTCCTTTCCACTCGCACAGAATTCAGTGATGGCATGCGCTGATGATTGAGACCAGCAACATCCTACATCTTTAGATGCATATTGCCATTTCATTTCACTGTAAGATAGCGAATCCACTGGGCATTCCACTAAAATAGTGACAAGATAAGATGTCATAGGAGTTTCATTCATGAGGTACACGGCAGTATTCAGAACTGTTCCAATCCCACGCATGGTATCTTCTTTATTAATCAAAATAAAATGTTCCACGTAGTGTGGTCTTTGTTGGGCAAAAAACATGATTGTGGAAATGAAAAATGAGGATCATGATTCATGTCCTGTGTCATCACCATTCAGAATAGCAAGAAAGAAAGTTTGAATCAAGGTGATGGGTGATCATGATCATTATTTCTCATTTCAGATCTAGATTATACTGGAACATTGGAATATATAATAGCGCCATTATTTTTATAATCACTGAATAGTTTGTGATATGATACAATCATTTTGGTAAATATTTTAGTTAACTATCGGAAGGAATCTTAATTAAATTTAATTTTTTTTAATCAGGGATTTAGGTAAGATGATTTAGTTTTAAATAAAGATTTAAGTAAAAATAAATAAATAATTAAGATTTATTCTTATAAATATACATTGAGTATCAAAAATTTGAAGAAATAAATCAATAGGACGTGACGAGCAAAAGGGAGGACAAGGCTTTAATTGGACGAAAGCCGAGTAGCCATTTAGATCCATTATTACTAAAGAAACTACACTTGCCAAAAGAAATTGATTATACCAAAGAAACTGCAATTGCCCAAAAACAAAACAAATTCTGATGCAACAATACTAACACATCAAGTCATGAACTGACAACAGAAAAAATAAAGAGATAAACACTAATAGAAGTCCCTAATGGTAGCGAGATAGAACAATCAAGGGAAATGTCTTTAGTGATGTGATAAAAAAAAATTATACAGTAAAATTAAATAAAAATTATAATCAAATAGGATACCAAGATTTACATTCAAAAACCTCTCCAATACGAACGGTAAAAATCACGAGATAAATAAGAAAAAATTTAATGTAACAATAATGAATGTACACATCTCGGAGTTTCTTGTCTAAAACTCAAATAACAATCATAAGAGAATAATTAGGATACAAGGATTATGTTAGTGTGTAGTATGTACAATATCTAAAATCTCTCCAAGTGATTACAACAAGAATCGACTATAAATCTGATCTAACATGAAGTGATAATACTGTATGGATGATCGAGAACAACCTCTTCGTTGTCCTCGTCTTCTTCTATTTTCTTTCTCTCTTGTTCTTCTATCCTCAATTGCCATTGTGCTTCTTCCTTTTTCATAATCACCACTACCTTCTTTTTCTATCCTTATTCATCACACCTTTAGGTTAAAAGAAAAAAGAGTTTAAGTTAAAATGGGCTATGAATTATTAAAACCTACTATGGGTTGAATAATAGACTATCTGCCCAATATTTAGCACTCTTATTAAGTAAGAGAACAAATATCCTATTAAACAAGACAAACAAGAATAGGTGTAATGCTAGAAATTTGAGATATTTTTTAGATTCCTTACTTAATTTTAGTTAAGTAAATTAACTAAAATTTACTTAATTTTAGTTAAAATTAAAATTTTTAGTTACTCTTGAGAAATTTGAGATATTTTAGTTAATTTGAGAAATTAAAATTTACTTAATTTTAGAAATTAAAATTTGAGAAATTAATTTGAGAAATTTGAGAAATTTTAGTTAATTTGAAAATTTTGAGAAATTAAAATTTACTTAATTTTTAGTTAAACTTAAAACAAGCAAACGAACTAAAATTTTAGTTACTCTCGAGAAATTTGAGATATTTTTCATGTTCGAACTAATTTCACTGACTTTAGACTCTTCCATGTTTATAGCGAGGATAATAATTATGCAAATTATCTTATTAAATTCGTCAAAACCAATAGATCATCTTTTGTATGACACGATGATGAACAGTTGTGTTTCCTTGATTTATTGTGTGATGATCTCCTCGGGACAGATTGTCACTGTATTAATAGATTTACTTTAAAAAAATCTAATCTGGAATTAATTAAATAGCCCAAAATTGTGTACATTGTGAACAAATTTAAATTCGATTAATTGGATTCAAAGTCGTCGTAAAAATTTGAAATAAGAGTCACACATATGGCCACATCCTACTTTCTTGCATACATGAAACCCTTTAAATAATTATAATAATTATTTAGAGATCCAATGAGGATTTTAACTAATTTAACTGGTAAAGAATATGATAGTTTATTGTAATAATGTCTCGTAGCTTTACTAATGATTGTCGTAATCACATCAATTATTACCCAAAAAAAATACAATTGTAAAAGAAAAATCGATTATTACCAAAGAAAATGCAATTACCAAAGCTTCTATCTAATCCGGAATTAATAAAGTAGCCCAAATTTTGAGCAAAATTAAATTCGACTAATTGGACTGAATTGTTTGCAAAAAATGGAACTAATAGTCATACATTCTGAACCATTCCTTGTGCTATAACTCGTGAATAATGCAATTGACATTTATCGTGAAAAATGAAGTGCTGAAGATCGATCATATCCGCATACACATAGGAAGAAAGAGATAGGAAATGGACGTCTCAGATCACATTTTACAAGTGGCCGATAGTGATAGGCTTGTGCTTTCACGGTGTGGCCCAAATCTCGTGTTCCACAATTGTATCTGCATTTCTAAGAGATCACAAAGTTTTAAGAACGTGTGTATATATATATATATATATATATATATATATATATATATATATATATATATATAATAAATTTTGGAGAAAAACTTAATCTTTATAAAAATTCTAACAGTATTTTTTTGT